TTGATCGCAATCCCAAAATGGGGTGGCGATGGGTTTACTGTAGGGTCGCCGGCTGAAACAGTAAACTGGAAAATATTGATTTTAAACCAATTTTCATTTTTAATTGGCGTCTTAAAGTTTGAATAATATCGAATATAACCCACAAAAACGTGAGTAGTTTTATATTTGGTGTCCCAGTGAATACATTGAAGTGACCCACAGTCTCATACATCAGCTCGCGGACCTCAGATTGCTGACATAAAATTTTTGGGAAACAAAAGATGACTTCATTGCTTCTTGCTCAGAGATTTGTTTACGTAAACGAATTCACGAAATATAATAAATAGTATGTTTCTGCCACCAATCAGATGAGTCGATTGCGTAGTCCAGAAATCACGCCATCTAACTTCAACTCGAAAAGGGTTGGCAACCTATGGTTTACAGGGTAGAAGGCAGAAAGAAAAAATGTAATGAGTGTCAGTCTAGGGCGTAAGCAAGGATTGTCTATTCAAGTTATCCGTTCAGGCATTGAATCAGAGAAAATTTGCTAGTCCTGGTTATGTCTTTGCTGCTTTTAATCAGCGGTTTCTTGGTTTGTTACATATCTTGGTCCTGGCCTCCATTATATATGCGGACAATGCGTCCCGCTCTACTTTTCGATGACAGTCAACCCGTGCTTCAGCTTTATTCGTTCTCGACGGCAGGATCCGTGCTTTCTATTTCTGAATGCAATGAAAATAATATCATTAGCGCTTTTCAGGTATCGAAAATTCCCTTTTGACCTTATTTGAATGTAGCCGAATGTTATTATGAGCAGATCTTATCTTTGGTGCCAGTTGTCATTCTTTCACGATGTCTGAAACCAGAGAGAACAGTGATATATTATTCTAGAGAACAACTCTGTAGGCGAAGAAGGCTCAAACGACGGCTCGCGGTGCAACGGATCGGCAGCAGCGAATAAGGTAGTGCGTTGTTCAGTGGTTTGTGGTGTCATCAGTACCTTTGCGTTGTTGTTTGCAGAAAGGACCCGCCTTTGTCGACGGCATCCCTTCGGTTGTGGCCGTCACAGACCGTTCGAAGTTGCAGAAGCTTCAGAAAATGAGCCAGAGAATGTGCGGCTCTAAAAGGTAAAGCAGAAGACGATTGTTCTGCTTATCCGTTCGTAGATGTGTGCCAACCTGTTTTAACGGTCTTGCTGCTGTAACTGCTCGAGAAATTCGCTATTACAGCTTCGTCGTAGGAACGACTGACATTAATGTGCGACTGTATTGCCGGATTCGAAGACCCCAGTTTTTTAAAGGGATATTCCGATATGGTAGCTCACGCCGAATGACCAGAAAAAGTTGCTTTTGACGTGTATCAGTTGGCCTTCGTAACCTAACGCTTTCGAGATAGTTTCATCGACAAACTGTATGGGTCTTCGAATGTCCCTAGATTCTTTGCTTCTCTAGTTTTGGCACATTTGAGCTTTACGCTTCACTAATTCTATTTCTTCTAACGAAGGTGCTGCATTGATGTTGTTAGGGCAAGCCAGTGTATCTGCTTCATGAACATGATGATCTTTTTCTTGAACCACGTTCAGGTATTTCAGAGATGCTTTGCCCATTTTTGTTGATTTTCCCAGGAATCTGGAAGTGGCTGTTCACGCCTATACAGATTAAATGCGCGTATGCTTTTTATTTGTCCAGTATCACGTTTACGTAATTGTAGACTTGTTTAATGTACTCGTTTCTTGTTGCAGTCTCCGTGATTTGCAGCTATCTCATTCAAATAGAATTCTTTATCTGTCAATAACTTAGATTTAGAGCGCCGTCGAGTTACATTAGTGCGCTAATTTATGTTCAGGCATAGGAACATAGGTTTTCAGGAATTTTTTTTTCGCAGTGATAGTATCACTTGCGTTTTATACACATCATGCTGTTATATGCCCTCTTACATTTTGAAACTTGCGACTGAATAGTCGCGTTTCTGACATGCCAAAACAAATTCAGGAATAATATCATTCGAATTTCCTTGAAAGAGTTTTTGATTTTGGGTCCGTAATTCAGCAGTCGATTGTTTTTCGATGCATGTTTAAAAAACGAAACGTAAAGCTGATGGAAAAGTTTTACTAACGGTCGATGCATTTCGTTACCAACATCGGTAAAAGTAATCAGGACGAATAAATTAAAAACGCAAGTCAGCGTTTGATACAATAGCAATGCATTGGTAGCATAATTCTGAGTGACAGTTGGGTGTCGTATGTCACTCAGTCGAAAATTAACATTTTTCTTAACGGATTACTGACTGCACTCTGCTTTGACTTATGTCAAAGGATGAAGATTATTAATTGCGCATTTGCCATTAATCGTTTTCGTGCCACGATATAAAGGATCTTTGATTAATGGTCTTAACTCCGTGATTTTTTCTGTCAATTACTGAGAAAAAAAACATTCACTGCCCCTGTGTCTTTCATCAGTGGCGTAGGATGCACTGCCGGAGTATTCATTTGCGGTTCTCAGAGACACGCCTTCTTATTCTGATATTAAGCTGTTTATAGGTCTTACCGACGTAAATTTTGTCGCAATAATTGCATTTTATTCTGTTAACTACATTAAGAGCGTCAGCTGAGTTGTTTAGATGGAGTTTCTTAAGAAGAAACATTTTTAGTTACATCCCATTTTGGTAGTATACGCTAAATCCCATTGTCACTGAATAATTTTTGACTTGTTCTGAGACTCAGGGTTAAATTAGATTTGATATCACTAATCTGTTTTCTGGTAGTTTGCTCAGGTTTAGACAAGGGTGCAGCAGTTCGCTGTTTGACAATGTCGGCAGGTAAGAGTTTTGAAGAAAGGCCTTGTGAAATTATTCACTTTATTACTTCTCTACTACTCGACTAATTTCTCTACTCAGACTTTTTTCAGTGCTGCAGGTTGCTGCTGCACGATTATGCATATTTTAACTTTGTTCCTAAATAATGCAGGTGACGATGCCTAATGGAGTGAATTGGTTTTCGGGAGCCTAAAAATTCAAACTTCCAATGGTTCTTTTTGCTACCAATTTTTACAGGCACGTCGAACGGTAGGGTTTGTTGTTACTCAGCTCCCATGGTAAATTTTCTTTGATTATTGCTGTCCCTCGTTTAAATATGCCGTGAAATCGTTCAGAGATGTATCTTACGTCTTTGGAAATGGAACGAAAATATCACCACGGAACCGGGAGTAAAACAAGGGACTATATCAACTCAGGCATTCGTCTTTGTTCTCGAAATGGCGTAGGAACAAGTCAGCTAGCACCAAGCATGCCGGAGAGCCCATCAGAATGCCGTGCGTTTGATGGTACATCTCCGCAAACTTCAGATTCACACTTGTCGTTATAAGGCGAAATAACGAAGGTCTTCAGCACTACTGCTTCTCAGAACGCTTTTTCATAGTTTATTTATGTCTTGTAAGGTAGCAGGTAGTATTTGAAAAAGGGCGCTTATGTCAACGTTGTTGAAAAGTGCGTTCAAAAATGTAAATTCGCGACTGAGTGACATAGACTGTCGCTCAGTAGTATGCTGTTATTACATTGCTGTTGTGACAAAACATTGACTTTTAATCTATTCAGTCCTGTAATGTTACCGGTATTTGTAGCAAAACGCGTCGACTGTTTATACAGCTTTTCCACCTGTGTTTTACGATTGGGTTTCCTAACATACATCAGGAAAGCAATCCATTTGATAATATCATCCGTAGCTATGGTTACTTTAATCTTTCCAAAGGTAAAAATTAAATTCTTTTCTGTACGCCTGACTGAACATTAACACTTGTAACTTGTTTGTAACTCTTGTATGGTATGCTTTTCCCGCGGTATTGTCAATTTTTACGCTGGATGCCTTGCAGATTAGATACCAAAGCTTTCTTTCTGTATGTTATTGTTACCCGCTGAACTTAGGAAAAGTCTTTTGGTTTAGCATTAATATCAGGTTCTGACCATTCCTTGGTTTGCGTTAGCTTTTTAGTTGATTATTTTATAGCCAATCATCATGTCATATTTTTGATACATGTTTTTTATGCGTATGTGCTAATGCAAGTTGATTTTAGTAGTGGCTTTCCAGGCGGACAGCCAGTCTCTATGGATACACAGAATGTACAGTTGTTGGAAATGAACGATTACATGGTTAGCTGGAAGGCGGATGGCGTTAGGTAACAGGATTAGTTTGTTATTGCGTATTTTGAATTTCTGAGGTAGCTGGCGATAGTGGAATCTCTTCATCTCCGGCTAAGAGCGGGGTCGCATGACAGAGCGAATTACGATAAAGTGTATGTGTTACCGTGCAGAGTGATAATCCGTTTATACCGGTATAACCTGCAATTGATTCCCTGTTCGGTATAGACTGGTAGTGTCTTAATTTCTCCGCATTAGTGTTCCTACATTGCCTTCTGCAGGTTTATGTTTACGCAATGACTTTAGTTTGGGCTAAAGCTTGGGCGAAGTTTGGTAGAAATTGCGAAGTGTCGGTTCCAACTGAGCAACGAATCAGTCTCAACCTGTGTTGACTGAGCTGCGAATTAATGTCACTCTATACGTAGCATTACCATTTCGGACGATAGCGTCTACGCTCTCGGACCGTTAGGTCAGCAGTGAAGGCTCGTCGTGAGCTGTGAACCTTGAGTAGTTGGGTTTACCGTTCCCTTATGCCTTTTAAGGCAGTTCTGTAGAGAAAGGGCACTTACCTCACAAGAAGATGGGAGAATCGAAAGCTTTTCTCCATGTACTTCCCAAGAAAAGCTTGGGAAATCTTTTCTTTGTGTCTTCTGCTCTCTGAGCTTAAAATGACAGCTCTGTGGCAGAAAGAATGGAAGGTCCACGTCGTACCTACGAAATGGTAAAAGCTCGCTTTGCGCTGCTTGGATGGTCCAGGCTTGGGGAAGACCCAGCGCCATCACGTTGCCTAGAATATTGTGTTCATGTCGTCGTCGTCGTCTGTCTGAACGTAAGACATTTACAAACAATAACTGCTTCGTTTTCGGTTTACTGGCAAATTGTTTTTGATACCGCCAGTAAGAATAACAGTCTTCTGATACTTCCTGATTTTCACTGCTAAGACACACCTGCACCGTCCTCTTGTATTTAGCGGCGTAAAGTTCCGTTTAAACAGGTTACTGCTCCAGTGTTGCCTGCACTTCATGCATGCAAAACCGGCCGCATTACTGTACCTGGTCGTACAAAAACCGGTTTGGACACCAGCAAAAAATACTGTCATCGTTTTTCCTTCAGTAGTGGTCTTGTGAGATCGTTCTGTCCGGGGCTGACGTAGTCACGGATTATATTTTCATTTAGTTTAGTAACTCTTGCTGTTTGTAATCTAGTCTCTGCACCCTCTCTCCCGTAGAGAGCGGCTAATGGTCGAGTTGGGGATTTCATGTCATGGTGAAGTACGGTGGTACGTTTTTCGTAACCGAGAAGACCTGCCTTAAATTAGAGTAGGCCCTTGTATCTTTCAAGTTGCGATTCAGGGAAAAGGGTTTTAACTACAGACCCGGACAAGATGACGTAGACCAGCGTCTTTATTCGTTTCTGGTGAAAGCATGATGAAATTTTTTCGTAACGCAGTCTTGCTCTGAACGAAAAATATTATTACTCCTTGACAAAATGGACTGGAGATCTGGACGTGCTTGATTGGTTATAGCAGTAAATGAAGAGAAAATAAAATCTTTTGTGCGCACTGATTTTTCGAAAATGTGACGTTGCCGTCCAAATCAGACGAAATAAATGAATTGTTCGAAGTTGTGGTTATCACTGGTGTCGTTGACTATGTCTGACAGTTTATCTAGGTTTTCTGGTCATGTAGTGCAGTACGCTGTCGCATTCTGTTACGTCAATTCTTGTAAGATTTTTATGATTTTAGTTCATTGAATAACTGGGTATTTTAAAGTTTGGT